CCCCCCCCCCCAGCCTCACTATTTGACAGGGTCCCAATGGCAAATAAAAAAAACAAGAAATGGATGTCATCCTTCTTCAATGTCACTAAATTCTTGATTTAAGCTTCTAAAAAGGAAACCACTTAACGAATCTGACCAAAACAACAAAGTGATGGGGACAAATGCCAACTTGTTTATTTGTTTGTTTCATACCAGAGGATTTAAATACATAAGCACAGACTGAGAATATCACTTGAAAACAGGAGTGCTATCACATGACTCACTCACATACACACATATAAATTATGTCATATTTCTTTTAGTTTGAATGTTTGATAATGATATTAATAAATACCAGTAACCAATAAAAAATATTATTATTGCTGTTATAATTTCCACATCCTTGTTACATTGAGAAACCTTTGCGTTATGGTTACTCCCTAGTCTCTCCAATATAGAGAGAGCACAAAGTATAGAAAACCATGACGCTTCAGGCTGATTTTTTGACAATCCAATTTCATTTCAAAAGACTGAAATTTGCTTCAGGAAAATTCATAATTATTATAATGAAGTGTTTGCCTCAAACATATGTCTTTTCCTGAAGCTGTATACATTATCATTTCTGTAATAATTTAATTGCATGACTGTCTGTTTGATTTTAAACGTAAAACGCTGAATTAAATTTCTTCCTGCGTTGACTGTGTGGTACATTCTCATGACCAAATGGACACTGAAATAAAGATGAAAAAAGATTTTATAAAACATACTCTCCAAAACAAATCATGTTTTTGCATGACACAAGAGTTAACCCTTTGACCCTAGGAGTGACTAGCATCTGATCTCTCCTTACAGTTTCACCCCTGAGTCAAACATTAAGGAGTGACTAGCATCTGATCTCTCCTTACAGTTTCACCCCTGAGTCAAACATTAAGGTCAGGAGAATAAAGGATATGATCTTCAACTATAGAAGCTCTTGATCATTAAACAAATTCTCCATGTCAGCATCTAAGGAAATGTATAGAGAACAGCATGGAGAATATGCATATTGATGTTAGAATGCTAGATGATGAGTATAATATGTTACTCACATGTCTGCAGCCATTTCCACAGCAGGCCCTACGCTTGGAAAGAAATTCTTCAGTGAAGACCATATACCCAGTGATTGGATCTGAATAACTATTTTTCCCATTCTAAAAAACAGAGAAGGATATATCAAAAAAACTCTTCCATTAACCTGACAAGAAGAAACAACAATAGGCTAATGTGTGCAATGGAATTTAAAGTTCAAAATGTTCCCATGAAATCTGGGTGACGGTGTTATTTCACAGACCTTAACTCTTAGGATGACTGTTTGAATGTTGTTTGCTAAAAAAGGTTGTCTATTAAAGTAGATTATTTTTGTGGTATGTTCAAAACTAATGAGTTAGACAGATATTCATCAGATAGAGAATGTTTATAACAAAAAAACACAAAATTCTGTTCAGAGCACTGATTTTGTGTCACTACATGTTAACAATTAAGGTTATGGCATACTGTACATTCATTTTTATTTAAGGCCTGATCAAATGCACAAAAAATTAGCAAAGATTGGAAAGATTTGCACCACTCTTCCAAATTGGGAAACAAAACAGAAAATTTGATCCACTCAACTACCTTACTAACAACAGTAATTGCCAGTCAGTGTAAGTATTGCCCTTGGATTTTATCTCTAATAAATAGCGTGACACTGAACGGTAAAAAACGTTAAAAAAAAGGGTCAAGGACGTGCACTTAGATCTCCTGGTCTGGAGGGTACGAAGAACTTTTTTGAGTAAGCTCAGGGGGGCCCAAGCTTATTAGGTCCCTGTCAGTTTGTGTTATCTGGGAGAGTATGATTTTTGGGGTCTTTGATCTTAAACTAGGATTTCAACAAAGCAACAGTGGTTTAGCATGGTGTGTACTCTTATTGAAAATGATTATCATCTTGGTGGTCAAAATTCTGTGGACGCAAAGGTGCAGCGGAGTAAGTTGGTGACAAATTTTGACCACTGTGATGTCAGTAAGAGTACAGACCACACTAAACCACTGTCACTTTGTTTGTTACCACAATACTGATGTCAAATAAAACAATTCTTTTAGTGAGAATCATCCATGTTTGAGAGTTGATAAAGGCATCACATAACACACTGACATGAGCAGCGTTGTCAGTTTTCTTATCAAATGGCAAATTGGCGAATCAGATTATGACATTACTGCTAATTGTGTAGTTCCAGAAAATATCCATACCCCCACCACAGAGGGAATTTCATATAGGACCCCCCCACCCCTTTCGGATTTTCCATTTTGGGGTAGCAGTGGTAGCCCCCCCACCCCTCTGGAATTTCCAAAGAATTTTCTACCACCCCCTATACCCCCTGGAAATATATAAAAACATTTCATCATCCAGATTTTTGGCCTTTATATTTTTCTGAACTGGAAGTATTAAACCATTTTGGTGGTGTGATGCACCTGTGCAATATTAGCATTCTCTGACCATGTCATATTAATCATCTTGTTTAAATGTGTGAGGTGGCTCTGTGAGATCCAAATGCCACAGTTGTATACATATATGTTCTCACATACATGTATACAGCCAGTAAGACCAGCAAAGGAAGTATCTAGTACCAGAAAAGATGTATACCGCAAAGATTCTATGGATTTACACAATTTCTTCACTCTTATTACAGAGCATTCACTCTAAAGATCTCATTGGTAATTCTTCTTATTGTCTGTCATACAGTTTTTGTGTTGTGAGTTTGGAGAATTTGGTGTGGGATAGAAAAAAAATTTCCTCATTGATGTTTTTCTTTATACCCATCACTTGTCTGCTTGAAATTGTATTGTCAATATAAGGAGAAATTCTCTATTGGTCAGCCATTAGAGTTAAATTGTTAAAAAAAAAAGTAATAATAGTCTCATAAATGGGGGTTTTAACCCTTTGGCCCCTAAGAGTGACCAGCATCTAATTTCTCCCTATAATATTATACTCCTGAATTGCACATTAGGGTCATGAGAATAAAGGAAATGATCACTAGCTAAAGAGGCTCTTGATTATTGAACAAGTTCTCTTTGTTGACACCTTAAAAAATGTATAGAGAGCCGTATGGAGAATACAGAAACTAATGTTAGGGTGTAAAGGGTTAACCACCCGAGAATCTTTTTATCAATGATCCTGTATTTTGTCTAAAACAGTGTCAGGTTTGAAGAGCACATGTCATCAGTCACATTCTTGGACAAAACCTCCCTGTTATGCTCCCCTAGCCATAGGGAAGTATAGAAACACAAATATTCTTTGATGCTTTTGAGTTGTCAGTGTGATCACTTTGGCAAGAGTAGCCCAGAAATGAACTGATGTTTATGACAATCACATTGTCACTGTTAATAACAACAGTCATTCAGAACTTGTCTCAGCCGGATGATTACAGTTCATGACTAATTGTTACACACAAAGAAAATTATCTCTTGTAAAATGATTGCAGTAAGTAGTAATTGGCAATTTATCTATCTTACAACCATCCTTATAAACCAAGATGACATTACAAATGTTCTGTCCTTACCATACATGCAGTTTTATGAGCAAGATAAATATTCTTCTCATCATCAGAGAGTTTTTCCCATTGCAATTCTCCTCTTTCTCTCGATCTAGAGTCCCCAGACTTGTCAATTACCCTGTCTTTACCATTATTTAAACAGCAAGAAGAAGTTGCTCTTGTAAACTGTGATTTCCTACGACCGCAAGGACTTAGAAAACCATTAGCTTGCGAGGACATAACACCACCAAAATGTCGGACGCTATAGATAAACGACTGTAAAGGAACGCCACGTCTAAGCATAAGTAGCTGTCCTTGGGTCAAAGAGAACTTAACCTGTGCTTGAGATCGATGAGGAGATCGCGTGAGGTAATGCACGTGACTGTAAAATTTTGTTTACTCGTGAGTAAAGTTTACGTAAAATCAACTGTTCACGTTTTTTCTTTGATTTCACGTGTGGAGGTTTCGATCACTAAATTCACAATCTAAGTGTTTCTCAAGTGAACGACAATACTACTTATTTCCTCTATTCCTTGACTAAAGTATTCGGTAAATCACACGGCGGTCAGCTAGTTCTTCTCAGATCATGTCCATGTAATTTTACCGGTAAATTTCGCAACTTTGCGCGGTTACCAAGGTCTCGATTACGTGCTCCAGTTCATTTTAATTTCGCATCATTGGTCCAAAGAAAACCAGAAGCATTCAAAATTCCGTTCTGAACTAAATTTTCCTGTTGATGTCTTATTTCAAACATAATCACATCCGAGTAATTCACAGCTCGCGCCGATACCATTTTCATGGCAAACCTATATTGCGGCAGGGGGCGGGAAAACAGGTGCGCGATGCTTGATGGTTAAATTAGTTTGCTATGCCTTGTGATAACGCCTGATTAAATTATTAGTTAATTTAGCGGAGGTTTCGTTCGAGCGCTGTCCAGAATGGTCGATTTTTCTCCTCTGAAAGCTGTTCTTTCCGGGCGTGTCATTGTTCGATCAGAAAATGCGAAAGATTATCAACGGGAGATTGATGAAACATGGAATGCCGCTATTCGAACGCGCAAACCGAGTGCGTTTGTCCGGGTAGCGACTGT